CCCCACCCTGCAGCAGCACCTGCCACCTGGTTCCCCCAGCCCGCCACCTGCCCCCCCCCGCCGCTGCTCGTGTCTCACCCCACCGCCCATTCGCCACCCCGCCACCTCTCCCCCCCCCCATGCACTGCCTTGTTCCTGGAAGCTGCAAAACAGGTTGACTGAGCACATTACCCCCCCCCGGAAAGCAGCAATGCGCCCGATTCCTATAGAGCAGAACTTCTCTGAGACCTTAGTTTTCAGATGTGACAGTTTGTGAATTCCAAAGGTATCTGGATGGATTAAAGGAAAAGAAAGAACAAGCAGGTGGTGGTAGCTTGGTATCTCAAGAGTGCATGTGACCAGGGAGCCCCTCAGGTCTGGGTGATTTTACACATTCTAGCTGGCAGGCAGAGCCGAGAGAAGGAAACCAGCTGTGTGGATTCGAAGCCGTGTTCCGACTCTGCGTGTTCGGCTTCTGGACCTCCACTTCCTCACTGGTACAATTTTGGAAATGGTGCTACTGTGCAGGATTTCTGGGAGAGTCAAGTGAACCCCCCCCCATGAAATGTGAAACTCTAAGCTAGAGCAGAAATCATTTTCCCGTTTTTTCCCCCCCCCCCAATTTAAGCATCTCCTGTCCCATAGCTTCGCTCACACAAAATGCTGATATTCCCCCCCCCTAAGTATGTTAATAGTGCGGTTTTTCTGGCGCCTGGGTGGCTCAGTCGTTACCCCCCCCCCTTCGGCTCAGGTCATGGTCCCGGGGTGCTGGGATCGAGCCCCGCATCGGGCCCCCCCCCCGGCGGGAAGCCTGCTTTCCCCTCTCCCCCTCCCCCTGCTCGTGTTCCTGCCCCCCCCCCCTACGTCTCTGTCAAATAAATAAATAAAATCTTTAAAAAAAGAATATTAAACCCCCCCCCGGGGTTTTTCTCTGCTGTACCATTGCTGTGGCACATGGTTTGGTTTTTAGGTAAGAAATGCATCGTAGAAGCAGCTTGTTCCCAAGGACACGTGCAGCAGCTGATCTCAGTTGCCGATTTGACAGGTTGCAAATGCTGGCGACACTCTTGTCCCACTGACTCTCTTGCTTCCTCTCTACAGGTGAGGACGGAGAATAAGTGCTCTTCCCCTTGTGACCAGGTAGGTCTGCGCCCCCCCCCTCGATCATATGACAAGTCTCTAAAAGTAGTTTCTCCTGGTCTTGGAACTTGATTTGGGAATTTTGGTAGAAGTCAGGGTCCCCGTCCTCAGTGCAGGAGGAATTGCTCTGGCCCCCCCCCCAGGTTATAACTGAGCTCTCGGCAGCTGGGTTTTCTGAGGAAATGTGGTTACCCCCCCCCGTAGTTGTGATTATTTAAGCTGAGAGGTGTTTTACTTTGGAGACACACCTCTATGATCTGGAAACTTAAGCACTGCGTAATTTTCTTAAGAACACCTTCATTTGGAGAGCTTTGCCCTGGAGAGACTGCTGGCCAGCAGATGGGTGGGAGCCCATGCCCCAGTGCAGGCAGCATCCCCACATTGACCCAGACCTGCCGACGGGGCTGCCTTGTGGGGAATCCACGGCTCATCCCCCCCCCGGGCAGAGCCAGCCACTGATGAGCTGACTCCTGATTCGGAGTCACTGGGTCCCCCCCCCCGTAGGGATGAGCTGACTCCCCGATTCAGGGACTCCGGATCACTGGGTCTGTCCCCCCCCCAGGATGAGCTGACTCCCTGATTCGGGGACTCTGGATCACTGGGTCTGTAAGCCCCCCCCCATGAGCTGACTCCCTGATTCAGGGGCTCCTGGTCACTGGGTCTGTAAGTGCCCCCCCCCCAGCTGACTCCCCAGTTCAGGACTCCAGGTCACTGGGTCTGTAAGTGGGTAGCCCCCCCCCGACTCCCCGATTCGGGGCTCCCGATCACTGGTCATTGGGTTTGTAAGTGCATAAGGATGAGCTGATCATAAATTTAGAAAAATGTTACAAGAAATAAAAGTTACATTCAGACCCCCCCCCCTGAGAGTTTCTTTCCTAATTACAGAATGTTGATTAGAGGGTTAGAACACAGCCACTGGGTTGGACCTTCTCGTGGGTGGGAGAATGCCTCAGCATTTCAGGGCATACTCGGATTACCTGGCACATCAGGAAATCAAAGCCTGCTTTGTTTTAGTTGGAGTCACAAGAGAGTCCGGAAACAGGGTCAACGAAATAAAACTCCCGACACTGAGAACACAAAGTAATCAGGGCTCGGAGACCTGGAGGCAGTGGGCTAATGGTGCTCTCAGGTTATCTCAGAGAAGTTTTATCACATGTTAAACCATGTTCGTGTGATGCTGGTCTCCATGGCCCTGTTTGAGTAACAGCTGCCCCCCCCCCCCAAGTAATCTCTTTCCTGGTGACATAATTTGGCCAGATTAACATCTGAGCCCCCCCCCCTTCTTCCATAAAATAAGAGAACTGTAATGGGTAATCTAAAGACTTTTTTCTCCCCCCCCCATTTCTGTTACTTTGAACTTTTTCTGTCAGGGCTCAAATTAGTATATTTGGGGAGAAATACTAGAGATGAGTTTACTGTGTGAGCTTATTGAAGAACTGTGCCTGCCGTGTCCCCCCCCCCTTTTGGTAGAGGATTATCTCACATTTTTCCCCAAAACTAAACATTTTGTGTATATTACAGGAGTTTAGATTTGTGACATTGGGCCCTTTAAGAATGAGAGGCAATGCTTTTCTCATTCTAAACAGTTCTTTCCTGGTTTTGGTATGTAGCAAAGACATAATATTTGGATAAATATTTGAAAAAAATAAATGTATTTGGGAACTACTGAAATTGGCAAAAACAAATACAAACCCCCCCCCAATATCATACAAAAGGCCTGGAGTATAGATTTTTTTAGACTCTTATATTTACCCCCCCCCATGATTGTGTAAATTGCCATCCAAACAGAGGCCCATCCTTCTGGGATGATGGCCAGCCTAAAAGTGACAGGCATACATTTGAAATTGTCCTGGGCAAACCGAAACACTTGTTCCCTGCTAAGATAGCAAGTAGCTCTGTACATTTCCGAACTAAAATTCACCTGGAAAACCCCCCCCCCCGCGAAATATGAATACCTTACTCACCAAATCCAAAAGAAACCTAAATCTCAGGAATGTGGGCTTTTTCTGTGTAAAGGACGAGCTGTACAGTATCATCTGATGGACACTTAGCTAATTATCTCAACTCACTCAAGTGGGAAAAAAAAGACTTTCCTATAGAAATGGCATCAGCCCCCCCCCATGAAAATATGCTCATTTATTATAATGGTTATGTCCTCTTCATTTAATTACCCCCCCCCCATCAGGTAGGTGTTCATAAAATTATAATATACGTTTCTTGGAACACGTAATAAGTCATTAGAAAATTCATAATGTAAAAGATAAAATTAGCTAACCTTAAAATTATTTATGCCCCCCCCCTACCTAGAAAAGATTCATAAAGCAGGTAACATTTCCATTAATGGCTAAGCTATAACTTATCTCTTTGCTAATTGATCTAGGGAGAATTAAATTACATATGGAATGTCATTAAGTTCACATGCAATTTATAGATGTTTTGGATTATGAACAATCTGATTTTTATAAAATTTCCCCCCCCCCAATTCCATCTGGCATCTTGACCCAAGACATCTTTCACCAGGAGTTGGAGTGCCCCCCCCCAGGGGTTTGTCCTGCAAACCACAGTGGCGGGGACAGCCCACCTGAGCCCAGCCCCCCCCCGCGCCCCCCTCCCCCCGCCAGGTGTCCCCACCTTGAAGCAGCTCCTAGGACCCCCCCCCCGTGCAAGGTGGCTGGCATGTCTTTGAAGATTCCCTTTTAATTTTACTGAAACCCCCCCCCTATTTTAAAGCCTTACTCCCTACCGTGTGTGCAACATTAATGTTTCAGGTACCCCCCCCCGACTGACATTCGTTTGAATTCATGCGCTGAACACTTCAGCTATGTTACTGTTTTCATTAACTTTTTGAATTCTATTCTGATTTGTTACAACTTGCGTTTGGTGCCTTTGTACCCCCCCCCTGGACTGTAAAGAAAATCAGGTTTTCCATGTAGGTCAACTCTGTGTTTACTGTAGCGATGGAGAATACAACTGTCGGCAGCTACAACCTTGTAGACAAATCTGTGATACTACCCCCCCCCAGAGTGTAATTTAATGCTGTGTTTTAAATATACACAGGGGGCACAACTCTACCCCCCCCCAGGGCCCTGTGGGGCGCAGACGCTCCCAGAGACACCCCTGGCCTGTGTGGACCCCCCCCCGTTCCTCTCATATGCTCACGCTCATAGCCGTCTGTTTGGTTTGGGCATTAGCCCCCCCCCTGGCTCTGAGTGCCCGTTGTCTGTTCTTTCTAGCCCCCAGTGCGCTCTCACTACGGCTTGGGTTTAATTTCAGGGGTTTTCCTCTGCAGGTTGTGCATATGGGGTGGGTCACCCCCCCCCTCGAAGGCACCGGCTCCTGTCACACCTTCCGATCCAAGTTCCTGGCCCTGACCCCCCCCCCCCTGCATGTGTTCAGCACCCCTCCGGTAAGGATGCCCGGACTCCCTGGGGAGGGGCTGCTGCAGAGAAGCAGCTTGGGACGTGGTGTCTGCCGGAGGCCAGACACACAGGCCCCCCCCCCCACTGCTCTCCTGCTCACACACCAGCTGGCTGGGAAGCAGGGGTGCAGAACCCCCCCCCGGAGCATCACACACAAAACAGAACAAAACCCTTCTCTTCATACATTCTGAGTTAATGGCCAGATAATGAAATTTAAAAAGTCACTCTTTCCTTCACCTCCCCCCATTTTATCCCCCCCCCCAAACAGCCTGATTCAGCAGGGCACCGGGTTGTACGGGTTTTGATAAGCCAGTGCTGTGAATTTACTGAGGTTAAAGAGTCATCTAAATTTTTAAAAAAAAACAATCATAGAATTCTCCTCAAAACAAATGTACTGATTTTTTTTAACGTTTGTTGCTAATGTAATATTAGCCCCCCCCCCCTGACAAAGACAAGTAGGAGAGAACTTGAAACCTAACACAGAAACAAACCCCCCCCCCCATGGGCTCACTTCAGGCTCTGCAGGAGTGGGGAGTGGGGCTGGTGAACACAGGGGAGGGGCCATCCATCCGCAGAGTCCTAACAGAGATACTCACATGTCCCTGTTACAGAGGGAGACTCAGGGCAGGCTCAGGCCCTGATGCGCAGGAGGGAGGGTCTCGCTTCCACCCGGTTTAGCACAGTCAGCTCAGCGCCTGAGACCAGAGGTGCCCCTCGCAGGACCGCAGGTTGCCCCCCCCCTTCCCCGCTGATAGTTGAGGTTCTCTGTGATATTTCTCGTCCCACTTCTGACCCCCCCCCGGATGACCGCTGTCCCGGGCACCCTGGGGTTTGGGACACAGCTGGGTCGGAAAACCCCGAGGTGACCGCGGTCCCGATGGCACGGCCCCTCCTGATCTCAGTGCTGTCCCGGTATAATTACTGCCAACAGTCACTTGGGCCCCAGGTCTGAGCTGGGACCGGGTTGGCAGGCTGCGCTCGCTGCGATGGTTCCGGCACGCGCAGGAAGGGCCAGAGAGGGTGGACGCAGAGCAGGCTGCTCCCTTCCAGTGGGGAGGGCCCTGTGAAGGCAAATGGTACCCCCACCATGGTTCCCAGTGTGTGGCCTGGCATGGAATTCCAGGGCAGAGTCTGCAAAACCCATTCACAAAGCCCCCCCCCTCGAATTGTACTTCCCGACCTGTACATGATGTTTAGGAAACACAGGGATGCCCCCCCCCCGGGTGACGGCTCCATCACCGCCAGGGCTCCAGAGAACCAGATGCCCGAGCTCCCCCCCCCGCCTCTGCCCAGGACAGGGCGCCTGGGACTGTGCCGTGTGGCTGGAAATGTGGGGGTTTGGTCTCCCTGTGCATCTCTGTGCCTCCAGGCACAAGTCCGTGTCGGGGCGCTCCCCCCCCCCCACCTGTCCCTGCAGAGGGGGCGCTGAGCCGAGCCGTCTCTCTGGACATGGCTGGTCCATCCCAGGTTCTCCTCCAGGACGTGCATGCTGATCTTTCCAGTGAGTGGACCCCCCCCCCCCAGCTCAATGTGTTGTTGGGAGGCAGCAGGCTGCGGCACGCCCAGAGACCGGGGTGGATGGGAGGCCGCTCCCAGGCTCAGATGGAGTTTGTGGCGCACACATGGCTGAAGCCCCCCCCCACACATGCCGAGTGCTCGCACAGCTCGGCCTGTCCTGGCCAGCCCTGCGTGCCCCCCCCCCGGCGTATCCCATCCTCAGCTGCGGGGACCTGGAGCATCGGCCCTTGTGCCCCCCCCCCCTTGCCCTGAATGCTTGCTTCCTGCACGCATGCACCTGCTGCCTTACCCAGCCCCCCCCCCGCACTGTGTCAGGCTCACCCGTTCTTTCTGCTCGCTCTTGGTTTCTGCTCACCCCCCCCCACTGCGGGGCCCTTGTCTGTGGCTGCATTGGCCAGGCAGCACGGCTGCCGCCTTATGGACTGTCTTCCAGCAGACTGCGATCTGGTCCAGGATTCGGGGATAAAGCTGTGTGATCTTGGACAGGTCACCAACCCTCTCTGGTCTGCTCGCACCCCACACATCAAGAGTCAACCCCCCCCCCCACTTGAAGAACAGGCCCATAGAGACTGCACCACTCTTCTCCTGTCCTGTCCCCCCCCCTTCCTGCTGGCCTCTGCTGAACTTGTGGTGTGTTTTCACATTCAAGCCCCACCCCCCCCCGTCTGACTGGCTGGCACGGTCCTTGAGGGCAGGGACCCGTCTGCACCAGGGAATGTGAGGCTTGGAAGACACTGACGTGCCGGCCAAGGACCCCCCGTTTGGGGGGCGGAGCCCCCCCCCAGCACCGACTCAGGGAAGGGCTGGGCTGTCCGTTTCACCTGTAGCCGTGGTCCCCCCCCCGCCTCCATGGGACCTTGGTTCCTGCACCCAGTAAGTATGCACAGGAAAGGCCCCCCCCCCCAACTGTTGGAAAACTAGGTAAACCCGTTAGGTGTCTTTCTGTGGGGCTTCTCCCAAGTTGTATTGTTCCCCAAGGGGGTACGGCTCGCGTTACCACACGTGACCCAGCAACCCCCCCCCTTAATCCCAGCCTCCCAGAGATACGTGCCAGGAAAGTCACGGGTCTGTAAGCCCCCCCCCAGCTCCCCGAGTACGCTTCTGTGCATCCAGTCGTCAGAGCCTGAGACTCTGCCCCCCCCCGTGTTGGTGAGATGCATGGTCCCAACACCACTTTAGTCCACTGTCACGATTCCCCCCCCCGTATTTATTTGATATAAATGAGAGGAAATAGGAGGATCTAGTCTGATTTTTCCCCCCCCCTTGATCTGTTTCCTCATTTAAGTCTCACTTGAATGAAATTCATGGGTAAATCCCCCCCCCGAGGGGGCTATTTTTGATAATTTTAGTCAAAATCGGCTCCTTAGAGATCATCCCCCCCCCGTATTTATACTGGAACATTCTTTAAAATGCATCTAAAAGCTGCAGGGGCAGCCCCCCCCCGTGGATCTCTGCATTAATGACCCTGAGCTGAAGGGGAAATTCAATTTTCTACCCCCCCCCTTCTAGCATGGTGCTTAGGAGGCCCCACGTCATCTCTGGAAGGAGTCTGGTGGCGTCGGCCGGCCGCTGAGCTCTGCAGGGACGCCTGAGTCCCTCTCAGACCAGAGAACTCCCCCCCCCGAGAACGCCGCATGCGGGCGGGCGCCTGGCCCCACTTAGACCCACCTGTCACTGTGCAGGGGGCGGGGGCTTGGCTTGAAGGGAGCGTGCCCCCGGGTATTATGTCTAGATCCCCCCCCCACAGCGGGCCTCCATAACCTGTTCTAAATGTGCTGACCTACCTCGGAAGATGTAACGAAGCAAGGACACAGCCTCCCTCACGGCTCTTTCATGGCTAGCGGAGTCGGGACACCCCCCCCCACGCGAGTTCGGAGCCGTTCGTTCTGTGCTCGCTTGGGCAGCACACAGAAACCCCCCCCCGTGCCTGCGCAGGATGGCGCGCGGACGAAACCAGCCGTTTCAGGAAGGCCTCCCCCCCCCAGTTAAACCTGCTGCTTTTTCCTCATACCAGGGTTTACAAGGCTCAGTTGCCCCCCCCCCATCCAGCTGGTAGTTCAGATGTGGGTAACTTCTGCCGCAGCACAGTGCATAGCGTCCCTGCAGGCTGCCGTGCTGCTGGGGCCAGAGGTGCAGGCCGGGCAGGGCCAGGCTCCCCCCCCCACCCCATGAGCAAGCCTCGTCTGCTGAGACCAGCCCCCTTTCTGTTGTCTTCCCCCCCCCCTAACACTCGCAGACTGGTCACCACAGCACGGCGCCATGCCCGCGGGGCCCCCCCCCCCCCCCTGGTCTCCCTGTCTCTCGGTCTCTGTCTCCCTGTCTCTGTGTCTCTCTCCCCCCCCCCTCCGCCATGACCTGACTTCTGATTCCCCAGAGACAGAGCCCTGCCTTAGTCCCCCCCCCCCTCCCTCCCGGACCCTTCCTAGGGCTGCCCTGGTGTCCAGGTCTCTTTGAAACAAAGGTCCTTCCTAGCCACTGTTTCTTTTGTGACCCCCTCCTCATTCAGGATCTCTGCCCCCCCCCACCACCAAGGTCCCTGTGCCCGTCTCAGGGTCACCAGCAGCGACTTCCTGTGATCAAGAGGGTTTTGTTGACGGAAAGAAAAGCGTGAGGCCCCTTGGAGCTAGTTTGGTTCCCCCCCCCACTTGTAAAGGGATGGCATGGCCCCAGATGAGTCTAGGAAGTAGTTTCTGGCCCCCCCCCCGCTGGGAGGCAGAGTGAGCTCCACACGTGTTCACCAGTAGCCTCGGGTTTCCCCCCCCCAGATGTTAACGAACACTGTGTGCATCTCTCCAAAAACAAATATGAAGACGCAGTCACCCTCGAAAAAGCAGGGAGTGCAACCCTCTGAATCCTTAAATGTAAAAATAAAATCCCCCCCCCCATAATATGGCATCTCTGGGCAGGCTGTGAAGCTGCAGAATCCGGGGAATTTGGGAAGCACACCCACCCCACAGCCATGAGAGGAAAATGCCCCCGTTTCCTGAGACGGAGCATGATGGGGGGTGTATGGGTGAGGGCTGGGTGTTCCTCAGCTTGAAACACCCGACAATGCCCCCCCCCGATGCTCGAGTAGAGCTGGAATCACCTGTTTCCGGTTCTGGAAAGAGATCTCCCCCCCCCCATCTGTGCACGGATGTCCCTGGGGCTGAGGCCACATGAGCCCTGATACCCTTCTCAGTGGGTTCTTCATGCTGCAAGAGGGAGAAGCCACCTATATCCCTTTCCCAGTGGCCCCCCCCCCTAGTCACCCACACAGAGAAATGAAAAGGCGAAGGCAGTGGTATTTATAAACCCCCCCCCCCCAAATTAGAGTGAGTTCACTTGATTTATTTGCATGTTTCCTAATGTCTTCCCCCCCCCTAAAAATTCCCGGTGACCTAAACTGTTGGTGCTAAATATCACCTGTAAAATCCCCCCCCCGTAAATGCTCCCTGAAGAGGGTTGTAGTGAGGTTAAAGTAAGGTGA